AAAACAGGTTCTGGCCTACCTGGTCTTTTCAGATGTAAATTGACCACATTCTTTAAGATTTTGCTACAGGCGGGAGGCGACTATCCCCTTCCTCCATTAAGAAAAGCTTTCTTAATTAACAAAGGTCCAGTTTGTTGTTTTTTTTTCCCTTGGAACAACCTTTAAAAACTGTTCTTTATTATGGAAATGCCAATCCTGCTGCTAAAATCTAGCCAGCATCTTTTTTCCTTTGGGTAAAATTTGCCATCTTGCCTAGGAAATAATCAGTCTTGGGGTTTTATTTTGTACATTTGTAAAGAGATTCCAGCTCAAACCTCTATCTAATCCAAAATTGGACAATGGGCGCATTAGTTTCAAGCCACTTTCCTCTTTACATGTGCACAGAAATCCCAGATGCATTTTTAAATTTTGTAAAACTTTTCAATTACAAGAAGGACTTTAAATTTTTTGCTACTACCACCAAGATCTGCACTTGCGGCGGCTCCACCCGGGCTCGCGCCCTAGGCTTCAAGGCTCACCGCAATGGCCCTGGAAAACCACACCTGAGGCTGGCAAGCAGGTTTGGCCCAGTCCTTGACTTTAAAACGACCATAATGCTTAAAGAGGTAGTTTGAGTCTGTTCCATAATGTCCGTCCAGTAAGTCCACAGAATAAAACAGAAAAAAAATGCTTAAAGAGGTAGTTTGAGTCTGTTCCATAATGTCCGTCCAGTAAGTCCACAGAATAAAACAAAAAAACAACACAAACACAGACAACTAAAGGGCCCAAAAAGAGTACAGCCTTCAAACTCCATGGAAGCAAACTCGAAAGCTAGACGATGGCCTTACGCCAAACCGGCGGGACCGACCCGCCTCGTCTCAAATTCGTGAGGGGAAACCACATCCTTCGTGAGGGGAATACGCATACCTCCTGGGGAGCGGAACGTTTTCCAACTCTCCCCGCCCGTGGTCCTTCAGCAGTGCATCCACCTAGACCGCTTCGGGCACTACAGAATTTCAGAAGTGAGCTCACACAGGACAGAACATATAACACACAGAACAGAATACACAACACACAGACACTTACCGCGGTCAGTCAGACTCTCTGGATCGGGGGTCCCTCGAGGGTCTTGGGAATCCCGGACAAGCCCCCAGATGTTATGCCCAGATTTCAAGATCCCCAAAAGACCACCAGGGAGCCAGCTGAGTCCGATGCAAAAGCAAACAGTCTTTATTCAAGCTATCTCGGCTCCCCGACCACACTCACCGATGCAGCGGCAAGTGGCAGAGAGGGAGAACTCT